CATAATTATGTATGAGAGGAAATGACTGAACCAAACCGGTTATTAACTAAATTGATCTGGTTCGGTTATACTACTAGTTTGAAGGTTAAACATAATCATAATGTTGCAATAGTTAAGTATGCAGTTTGATACCTAAAGCTAATCAAATCGGACTGTGTTTGCTGTCAATTTTTTTTTTTTTTAGTACAAGCGATTGGGAAAAGGATTTACTCAAACCAATTTGAGATATAACATATAAGATAAATTCATATTGAACGCACAATTCAGATTGTCACCATGATATCTCAAACCATGTACAAGTGAATAGTTATTGTACACATATACAAACTATTCAACACTCAAATCCTCACCCTTGCAATCGACAATGGCCCGAATCTCCCCTGAAGACACCATATCATGTCTTTTCTTTTCGTACAAGGCATGCCAATACCGGACAACCGTACGTACTAGGACAGTGTATATACTAATAGCCTGAATTTGCAACAACACCATCATTGTACCTTTTAGGCTTTTCCTCTCCTACTTTCTACGCTCAATTACCAAAAACTTTGCGAGGGGGATCATCTATCTATTGCTTTTCCTTTTGACCTAATCTTCGTTGATAAAATAATCTCTGATTCAAAATGGTAAAGAAAAGCCAAGTCCATTAGCTTTTTTTAAGGACGAATGGAGCTTGCACTAAAACACACCAAAAGCCTAGTGATCTCTAACAATTTTAAAACACAGAGGAGGGACCCAACCCAAGAGAGCCCAAGGAAGAGAAAAAGCTTTAAAATGAAGGTAAAGAAAAGAAAACCAGTGGGGCAAACGAGAGAGAGTGTTGAGCTTTTCCCAAAGGAACTTTTGGTTGGAATAATTTTTGCTTGATTGGCGCTTTATGTTTGTCTTGTCTTTAAACACACCATGCATCTCCTTTCATTCATTCATTTCTCCCTTGGACTGTTGCTCTCCCTTGTATATATAATTCCACACTCTCTCTCTCTCTCTTATTTTTTTCTGTGATTTGGAACCTACTACTTGGGTTTTTTCTGCTAATTTTTCCTCTGTAGAAATGGAATATTGATATTGCAATAAGCAAAGATAATGGACACCATTTTGGACATTTTACAATTTTTCTTTTTTCTGCATATAAAAAAGAGTTGGTAAAACAAACAGTCTTTGGAACTTTGGAGTGTGGCCATTCCAGTTCGTTCCATGTGAACTGCAATGTAATGTTCCCTCTCTCTCTCTCTCTCTCTCTCTCTCTCTCTGACTGACCAGTTTTGTACTACTTTATATTTTTGAAAAATAATTTGTGGAAAAGTTGGATGCTTTGGCTGTCCGGCAGGCACACGACGACTTTTGTCTGAAGGAGCTATTACCTAGTAACCACACACGCTCAAGGTCACGCATATGGTGCTTGCTTGAAAGGGTTCAACACAGAAACGGTCAATTCCCTAGGATGCCCTCCCATTCCACATTTGTTTCCTTTTTAATGCACAAGTTTCAATACACAAAAACTCTCCCCACCCTCTTTTGCTTTCTCTTTTTAATCTTTTACCCCTTTCTCATTTTAAAAATATTTTCTTTTTGAGTTGAACGATAACATATTAAATTCACACACATTACACGAATGTAATGATTCAAATCTATAATCTTTTCTGCCTATCATTCACCTTGTTCTTGTTGGCCATGCTAATTTCTCATTTATAATTATACCCTTTTGGCCTTTTTATTTATTAATTATATATGAATAATAATATGGCTATTGCTTGCTTGGTTTATACTTTATATCATTATTAGATTATTAACATGTCAGTAGCACAAAATGGGACATCAATGGCTGAATGACCCTCTGGCCTCTTCTGTAGCAAAAGTAAGAAAAAGGCTATGGCAAGTTCATGCTGCTCAGCAATCACTCAAAATTGAAAAAATAAAAAGAAAGAGAGAGGAGAGAGAGCACCTTCATCTCATATCATATCAGAGTGTGAGGAGGATAGAGAATGAAAAGGAAAATGACACCACAAGCTGCCAAATCTTTAGACAGCCTTTTTCTTATCATGCAAAAAACCCAGTATTATACCACCCCTTCTTTCTCACTCTAGCCTCTACCAAACGAATATCTTCTATTTCTCGTGGACCCCACAACCCAACCCAATTGCCCTTTTCCTTTTTAAATAATTGAATCCAAAAGTAGAATCCTTTTTCATATACTATATAGTATAATACACAATTGATGAATGCCCACTGTACTTTGTGAGTGAACTATACACAGTAGAGAGGGCGTCTCTGCATTAATCGAGATCTCTCTCTCTCTCTCTCTCTCTCTCTCAGTCAGCTCACGGTTCGTCCTTCCTTTTTCATCTGGATTATAAACCCATCAAATCATATCCACCATTTATAGAGAAAGAAACTCTCCGTTTTATCAGAAACAGAGACAACCACAAAGAAAAGAAGAAAAGAAGAAAAGAGGAAAAGGAAAAAAACCGATCTTTCTTTCTGGGTGGGTTTCTACCATATATCTCACAGTTCTCAGTGCCATCTCTGCTCAGTTGTTTTGGCTTTTGCTCTGTTTAGGTCGTGAGGAGACAATGGGTGCCAGCAGCAGCCTTGCAGCCCTGAAAAGCAAAAACACAATGGCTGTCCTTTGAATATTTCAGAATCTCCTCCTTTTTCACCTTTACTATTTCATAATTTCAAAAAGAAGCATAAAGCTCTCTCCTTTCTCAAACAAAAACAAATCAGAAATCAAAGTCCTTATCTTTCCCTCACTTTCGTCCTGCTCATCATCATTTTCGTCAGAAACAAACACAACTTCACCCCAAAATGCCATCATTTCCAACCTCCACCGCTTTCACCTTCTTCCTTCTCTTGTTAATATCCAGCTTTAACATTACCCTCGCCGGTTTACTTGCTCAACCGATAACCGGTCACCCCCAGCCACTCAAACCGGGCGAGTACTCCAGCCCCAACACCGTCCCAGCCCTCCCGGCCCAAACCCCAACCCAAACCTGCCACCTCGACCTCTCCAATGAGCTCTTCGGCGGCGTCAGCCAAGCATGCGGCCGAGACCTTGACCGCAGCCGATGCTGCCCTGTCCTAGCCGCCTGGCTCTTCGCTGCCCATGCCAGGTCAGCTCTCGAGCTCCCCTCATCGGCTCCGGCTCCTTCCGCCGGCCTCGACCAACCGATGATGCCGGACGACTCGCAGAAGTGCGTCAATTCCCTGCAGTCCTCGCTCGTGAGCCGAAACATCCGGATTCCTCAGCCGAACGCCAGCTGCGACGCCGTTTTGTGCTTCTGCGGCATCCGGCTCCATCAGATCGGCTCCCTCAGCTGCCCCGCCGCTTTTAACGTGTCGCTAGGGTTTCACAATGCCACCCCCACGGCCGCCGTCAAGAACTTGGAGAAGAACTGCCGCAACTCTTCGTATTCTGGCTGCACCAAGTGCCTCGGCGCTCTCCAGAAGGTCAGTTTCGTCTTTCCACAACTAACGAAGTTTGTTTTGTTTGACCGGAATGCCTACTTTCTTGACTGGTAATTACTAATTGCAGCTCAAGGGTGGGAGCAAGAATGGAACGGCGGGGGACAAGTCCACGAGCGACAGAGCGAGCAAGATGTTCAACAGGGACTGCCAGCTCATGGGGCTGACGTGGCTGCTGGCCCGGAACAAAACGGCGTACATACCCACTGTTTCGGCGGTGCTGCGGGCCATAATGTACAGTGCGCACCCACCGCACGAGTCCACGTGTAGCCCGGACCAGGAGAACATGCCGCTGGCCGTAGATTCACTGCAGTTCGATAAGGCGCAAGCGCCCGCATCGTCACCGTCCATTTTGTTGTTTCCGATTCTGCCCCTGATCATTTTGGTGTCTCTGTTTGTTTAGGGTGAGAGAGAGGGGATCAAGATTCAAGTCTGGGTTTTTGCCCAATTTTTTTTTGGTAATTCCTGTCGTGTCGGGTCACGTGATGCTAGTAGACAAACGGGGCTGTTGGGTTGTTTTGTCATTTTGCCCACTGTAAATTTCAGCTCATGGTAAGTACAGCAGGGAAGGTCTTACTTTTACTAATTCAAATTTCTTTACATTTTCATTTTTAAAAAGCAATATCCTAAATTACTCTAATATACTGAAAAGGGATCGGTGTATCAGGGTGAAATGGGACGGACACACTGTCTTAACCAACTGAATTATTCACCTTGGCGAAAAATGGGAACACTGCCTGCTTGGTACTATAATGATTTGGTCCTCAAGTGACTGGCTTGTAAGTTTGGATTGTTCCATGAAAGACTGGGTCAATGGGTAAGAATAGTAAAGGCAATTTGAGGTTTGAGACATTCTCTATCTGATTATTTATTTATGGTGCTGAAAATTTGTGGGAGTGCATTAATGGTAAATGATTTGGAATTAAGAAGCAAGGAGGGGCTAGAGAATTAAAGAAATTTGGTGGTGGTACCCAAAGCTCATTAATGACGATTTCTGTTGGGGGTGTTTAGAAAGCTACACAGAAAGATAGAAAATAGCATTAGCAACTCCCCATGACTGAGTATGTTGGTCGCATAGAAACGCAAAACTGGGACACGAGATGCTAAGAATTTTGGATTATAAAACCCAAACACATTGTTATGTGAAGATTAGATTAATTAAATAAAGTTTTAATTAGGTAGTTTTACATCTTCTAGGGAGCGAATTGCGGATGAATTATTGTCGTCACGTAGCCCGGCTTGGATAAATGTTTCATTTCGTGCGCATCAATTTTTTGTTGGTAGTGATTTTGACACTCCTCTTTTGAACGAGGTTTTTTTTTGGTGTGGTCCATCGGCCTGTATAACTCCATAACCTTTGGGCAAAATAATTTTGACTTCAGCATGTCCAATTTCTCAGCCTCCACGCTTGTATCTAATGGCACAGTTTGGAGTCTAAATTTGAATGGGCATTTAGGCTGCATTTGTTTTGTGGGATAGAAAATGTTTTCTCCCAAAAAATACAATGCAGAAGCAAAGAACTAGTTCAAATGCTTCCTAAATGTTCTTGTGAAATAAAATAAAAAAATACTGAAAAACCAAATATTTACTTGTACCATTTAATAATGAATCACCAAAAAACAGAATCCAGTCTTACTGTGACAAATTGGAACAACCTTCAAGTCAGTTAAATCAAATTTTTACCAGCCCTTGCCTATAAGCCACAACCAATCAAGTGTAACACCTGCAAATATACCTACCAGCAGGAACACAACCAGCAAGTTTCCTAAAGCATTTTGCTCTGGCCCCTGCAAAACCCAAATTCTGATCAATCTTACTTCTTTAACTAAACAAGCTGTTAAACTTTTCAAGTGTAAAATGCAGTGTACAAACCTTGTAACCTTTGGGTGCTGAAGTAAGCACACAGACTGTGAGGTAACCATTAGATAAACCCAAGAAGGATGTAAGCATTATCATCCAGCCTTGGTCACCATACTTGGCAGTGAAATAGAATGCCGGGACGAGCAAGAAACGAGAAAGAATCACAACCATGAGCCCTCTACGATTTTCCAACTTGAGGAATTTCACCAGCGGAATGTATCTCCCAATCAAATCGGACACATTGTACATTGCAATCAAAACCAGTGCATACCTGACATGTATAACTCCAGATTTTAGAACAAAATTCTTGTTGACACCAAGTAACGTTATGTTTAAGTACATACCATGCACCCAAGCTGTGTGATCCAGTGTCTTCGAATAAGAATCCAGGGAAAATTGACAAAGTGAGGGCATAGATTAGAAACATATCGAGTGCATAATCAATGTTTTGAAGCAGCAATTGTTTGTTCCCCAGCCGCTCTAGATCTCTCTGCTCTTCCTCATCCTGCATGAATTTGCATTGTTTTTTTCTTAGAACATTAGAAGATGAATGCGTTGGGGCATTATTTGAGCATATGTTGGAGCGAATGACATACTGCTTCAGGCAATGTTTGGATGCCACCAGCAGCAAGGTCAGCAGAAACAGTTTTTGATCCTTCTGAAGCGGCCTTTGAGCGATAGTACTTAACAATTGGTAGCTTCGGAAAGGCAAAAGCATAAAGAATCACGCAGAGAAGCTCAAAGATCGAAGAGATTGCAAAGAACAAAACTGCAGTGGAAAAAGAAAGCCAGTGCTTTAATGTAAGTTGAACATGCACATATATATATGGTAGGCAAGACCATGCATAGATACAAAATATCAGAAGATCTAAGTTTATGATGGTCCTAAAGAAAACAGTAACATGTTCAACAACAAATATGAAAACTTGAGAACTGGAACCTACTAGCTCCCTTCCGAAGACCATTATGGGAATTCTCAAATGCTGCCTTTGTAATTAACCTCAAAGCAGAGGTTAGGGCTCCTGATGCAGCCAAACCAGCAAGGAAAGACTGAACAGTTTGAAACAAGAAAACTCACAAATTTATAACCAGGTCCATAAATTTCGACAACTTGAAGGAAAACGAAAATGAAACATAGAGCATGTAATTGTTATGCAAAATAAATACTGACTTGGATGAGTTCTCCTGACATGAAAGAGAGGTCTCCAACCATTCCTCCTTGCACATGAGCATCTGCAATTCCAAAGGCAGCACTAATGGCACAAATTCCAATAAAAGTTCCAAGGCCTCCTCTCCCAGATGTAGCTAAATCCAACTATGGCAGAATGAAGCACATTTTAGAGGCTTAATCATATGTTTCTCAAGCAGTATTTGGTGATGTTAATTGAAGATTTAAATTGCACTTACAACTAGCACCAATAGAGAAGTTATGAAAAATAGAACATATCCAAATAGGTTTCTTTTCCTAGTATTCATCTTCGCTTCATGATACGACAAGATTATAATTGTTCCAAGCGCAAATGGCTGGTACACCAGAGTGAGGACCCTTGCGGGATGGTATCGCTGCACCAGGGGAAAAAAGAAAATTAAACTTCAACTGATGAGGCAATCCAATTCCAAATGCTACAACTGTCAAAACATATTGTCTACTTGCACATAACTCAAAGAAAATCTGAGAGATAGGTACAATGCAGAAACTAGATATTGTAGTTTCTGAATCGAAATCATATCGGATAGGACAGTTACCGGGAACAAGTCAACATAGTAATCTTCTATTGTAAGCATACTGTTCCATGAAAAGAGGCATCCATTTCCCAGAAGCCAGCACACCACCATTGCAGCATACTTCCCCTATAATTGAGAACAAATGCATATCAGAAACTGGTTCAACATATAGATTTGCTCTAATTGCAATTTCATTCTAGTTTAAAGGAAACAAAAGAAGCACTACAAACCTCAAGCTTTGGTGGGGGTCCATTTACATCATGGCTTCCCATGATTGCCTCTGTTCAACCAGCTCCCCTACAAGTTATGATGTTATGGCAAATCATTCGGTTTATTGACTACATAAAATAAGCCACTAACATCAAATCTTAGTGTGAATCTGCCGCTAAATGCAATAAATTATAGTCAACCTATCTTCAATGATTATGTTTAAAGTATACATTCATCTCCCTTCAAAAAATTTCGTCCAAAAAAAAAAAAAAAGAAAAATCTCCCTTCAAATTCTTGCTTGCACAGCAACCAGAACATTGTGTACTAGGTTCAACCAGTGAAGGCTTTACACATTTAAGCGAGCATTGGTCCAACCCTTATCTACAATGCAAACGTAAAATTTGAATTCTAGCCACTTCTTCCCCTAAAAGTTTCATTACAAGTAAGAAATATGAGAAGTCCTCCCCAACCAACTCCAAAAATTTCATTTTTATTATGCAAGAAGCAACAAAAACATTAATCTAAACCAGCCCATTATAGATTTATGAATGCAACCAACCAAGCACCTTTGACTTTTATTCACCACTCTCTCTATGTCACATGAGAGAGAGAGAGAGAGAGAGAGAGAAACAGGGGTAGAAACAGAGCAGACAAACACGCAAAATCAAATCTTTATCCACAAAGGAGAAATGCAAACTTACTCTTTGTAGAAGGTAGGTGGGATGGATATGTATGTTGGACTGAGAAAAGAGACTCTTCGATTCTTCTGAATCTTTTCCCAGAATCTGAATCTTCTGCTCCCTCTTTTATATGGTATTTTACAGCAATGGGAACAGAACACCCTTTTCAACAAAATACTACCCCAAAAAAGGTGAAAACTTTTAGGCGTCTGCTGTGAAAATCCAGAGTGGCAGTGATGACGTCTGTGGGGAGAAGAGAAGAGAAGATTTGGTATTGGAATGAAAATTATTAATTCGGAAGTGTTTTGAGTTTGAGGAGGACGCTAACGAGGAGGAGACAGTTGTTGGGTTTTCTTTCCATGAAAAAGACAAGGAGGAGTGAAAGTCTAAAAGAGGACGTTTTCTGTGTTCACATTTTAGAGGCGTTGACGCTGCCGTCACGGCGCCTATTACTCATCATCACTTTCACATTGGTACTCTAATTTTAATAACATTTTTTTAGGAAAACATTATTATTATTATTATTATTATTATTATTATTATTATTATGTGATTTTATGATGTAACATAACATGTCATTTGTTGTAACATAACTCATTCGAGCCTCTGCCTTCACACACACACATATATATATATATATATATATATTTGTTAATGAGGATAGGAGAATTTGAATTTGAGAGCTGTTTCAATAATAAAAAGAGAAGTATATGCATTTGGCTGAGGATTTCTACGAGAAATTAATAAAAGAAGACGAAGAAAAGAAAGAGAGTAAAAAGAAGATGGAAAGAAAAAAAACAGAGGAGAAGACATCAGCCAAATTATCAAATTAAGCCCTCAATACCAACCAATTAACGAAGTCAATGAATACAATTGAAGAAATCTGGAATTAAATATGATAATTAATGGCAATATCTTACCCGTTTTAAATGATAGGGCAAATAAAAACAAACAATTAAACAAATACATAAATATGAGTATAATTTAATATGGCAAAATAGTTAAACGACTTAGATAGACAAACAAGAATCAGTGGACTACACCCAACTTGAGGTTGAGTTTTCGAACCTAGTTTAGAAGGAGGAGGAGGAGGAGGAGGTGCCATTGAGGTTTGAACTTAAGACGATTGATGTGCATGCAAATGCTCTTACCATTGAGCTATAATATATGGACCCGTTATTTAGTTTATCTTTAATTTTCTGTGTTGTTTCTTATTGAGGTGGTGTTGTTTAATGGCTCCATTGAATCAATTTGAGGTTATAGAACCGCTACTTATAGATTATAGTCAGCAACCCAAAAGCCTATATATATATTAAAATTGGTACTTAGGTGATGAAGGGTAAATTTAAATGCTATTCAAGTAAACACAATAATCTTCACACTTTAATCATTGACCAAATATACTTATGACTAATCAACTGCTAGTCATGAGAAACCATAACGGAGAACACACACAGGGCATAACAATATGTACCTGCAAGCCTAGAAAATTACTAGTGACAACCTAGGCATTCAGAAGGACCCGTCAATCTAAGCATCCCCTGTGCTAGCAACAACTATGGTGAAAGTGTGTGAAAACATCATAATCAAATAAACAGCACACAACATATAGTGATGACTAGTCAACCGCAAGAACACAATATGAAAAATATGAAGGTTCACTCTTGAGGAAGAAGAAGAGAAAGTTCTCTAAGAAACTTTCCAAAACTCACCCACAAAAGAGATAGTTGCCAAATGAGGAATTCTTTTGCTTTTACCCAAAAATTCCTAGATCAGAATAGACATATGGCAGCTGAGAAATTGGCAGAAAAGGACAAAAAAAAGAGGTTAGGACCCAGCTGGAAACAGTGAGTTGGAAATCCTAATTGAAACAAAGGTTGACTAGTCATACGAAGGAAAGATGACTAGTCATAATCTTCAGAAATTTAGTGAATGCAATCTAGTGCAATGCAGAATTTACCTTTGTCAAACACATTTTCCATCATAATGTAGCCAGATAAGAACACCTAGAGAAGTAATTCTTAATCTAAACTTAGAGCTTGGGAAATTACAATGATTGTGCTATTACAATATTGTCAAGGGAAGAAAAAAGAAAATCACAAAATACATACACTTACACACACATATATATATATATATATATATATATTCCATTTCCTCCAGCAACCCAAGTATTCTCTTGTCCACTTTCTATGCTCTAACACAAAGGAGGGTTTAGCCCCAAACTTTACATCCTAAGTACTTGTCTTTTTAAATGCACTTAGGATGTAAAGTTTTAGGTATGTTTTTGAAGATAGGTGATGTACAAATGGTTCCAAATACATACAGACTACAGTTGCCTCCTACATAATTACACTCGGTTGCTTGCAATAATGTCCATCGACCCAACTCACCCCCATATCCAATATGATGAGCTAGCTAGCTACCACCTCTATTCTTTAAACCTTTTTGTTGTTACTATGAATTGCATATTCTCCATTCATCTCATTTTGAAGATAAACTTGAATTTTTATACATATATTTTCTGACTTCAGCCAGTCACTCAAGTCATCGACCTCCCTGTTTATTTCATGCATGCAACCAATACGACTAATGTGGCAGTGATGCACCAAAAAGAGAAAAGTGAACAGACTTGTAACTAAGTCAAATGCAAATGTCAATATCCGATACGAGCTCTAACTCGTCGATTTAATAAAGGTTTAATGAAATATTTTTTTTAATATTAAATTTAAAATAAATCAAATTTAATTATTAGAAAATTTTCTATTTATAAATCCTCCTTTTTCTCTAATAATTAAATTTGATTTATTTTTAAAAATATTTTTAAATTAATGAAACTAACGGAATTGAAAACCTGACATGATTTGCTAAGAGTTGCAAATACAGTGATCTTGGAAAATTGAAAGTGCAGTGACCAAAATTAAATTTGACCCTAATCCGAGTGACTAAAATTATAATTACCCCAAAAACATATATTCATACGAAATATTTCCCTCTTGTTAGAGCATCTACAATGGGCTCCTTAAACTACCTCCTTAGACAAATTTTAGGGAGGAATCGTAAAATTGCAACTCCAACCACATTCTCTATCCACCTCCTAAAATATGGAGTTCTCTAGGAGCTTCTAAATCTGAGGAGAGAGAAAGGACTCCTAGTGGCTCCCTATAATTTAATGCTGCTTTATTTAATGAGTATTTCAAACTTTTATTTAATGCTAACTATTTTTTTATTTTTTATTTTATTTTTTAATAGAGATAGACCAATTAAAAAAGAGTTATAGCATTTATGACTCTCCAAATTAGGGAGTATGGTTGGAGTTGAAATTTGTTAGAGAGCTCCTAAAATAGCTTTCTTATATTCTTAGCCAAATTTTAGTTAAGAAATAGAGAGCATAGATGCTCTTACATCAAAACTCCAAACCGCCAAAATTTCTCTTTATAAATAACCCCCTAACCCTCAACCCTTGCTTACTCATGCATGCTATATACTCAAACCTCGCTCTCCTCATCCTAGCTTTATCTATCTTCTTCTTCTTCACACAAACATTTTGACATTTTGATCAAAATGGGAAGCTTAGACTTGAACTTTACAGATTCTTCCTTGTCCCAAACCGACGTCTTCAAACCCTTAGACCATGAAGACTTCCGCAAACAAGCTCATCAAATGGTCGACTTCATTGCCGACTACTACGCCAAGATCGAATCCTACCCTGTCCTCACCCAAGTCCAGCCCAACTACCTCCGTTCCCGCCTGCCCTCCACCGCCCCCTACCTCCCCGAACCCCTGCAAACTATCTTCCACGACATCTCCGCCCACGTGATCCCAGGCATCACTCACTGGCTCAGCCCTAACTTCTTCGCATTCTTCCCCGCCACCGTCAGCACCGCCGCCTTCTTAGGCGAAATGCTGTGCACTTGCTTCAACGCCGTCGGGTTCAACTGGCTCGCCTCACCCGCCGCCACCGAGCTCGAGATGGTAGTCATGGACTGGCTGGCCCACATGCTCAAGCTTCCCGCGTCCTTCATGTTTTCATCGGGCACTGCTGGAGGTGGCGGTGGTGGTGTCATTCAAAACACCACCGGCGAAGCCATCTTTGTAACTCTCGTTGCAGCCCGAGACCGGAAGCTTGAGGCTTTAGGAACAAACGACGTGAAAAAGCTCGTCGTTTATTCTTCTGATCAGACCCATTCCACGTTCACCAAGGCCTCCAGGCTCGCCGGGATATGTCCTTCCAATGTAAGGTCTATCCCCACCAGCCGGGACTCCGAGTTCGCTTTGTCTCCCGAGTTACTTCGTAAGGTGGTGGGGGCAGACGTGGAATCCGGGCTGGTCCCGCTTTACCTTTGTTTAACCGTGGGGACAACTTCAACCACGGCCGTCGATCCCCTCGAGCCGCTTGCCGGCGTGGCAAACGATTACAACATGTGGGTCCATGTGGACGCTGCTTACGGTGGAAGTGCCTGTATTTGTCCCGAGTTTAGGCATTATTTGAACGGGGTGGAGCGAGTCGACTCACTGAGTCTGAGCCCGCACAAGTGGCTGCTCAGTTACTTGGACTGCTGCTGCCTCTGGGTCAAGCGGTCGGATTTGTTGGTCAACGCGTTGAGCACCAACCCGGAGTATTTGAGAAACCAACCCAGTGAGTCTGACTCAGTGGTGGACTACAAGGACTGGCAACTGGGCACTGGACGTAGGTTCAAGTCACTTAGATTATGGCTCGTGCTGCGTAGCTATGGCGTCGCTAATATCCAAAGCCACATCCGGTCCGATGTTCGGATGGCTAGAATGTTCGAAGGGTTCGTAAAATCCGACCTAAGGTTCGAGGTTGTGGTGCCCAGAAAGTTTGCGTTGGTTTGTTTTCGGCTCAAGTCATTTTATAGGGCCGAGCCGAGTTATGTTGACTCGCTGAACCGGAAGCTACTCGAGTGGGTGAACTCAACGGGTCGTGCTTATATGAGCCACACTGTAGTCGGTGGGGTATACATGTTGAGGTTTGCGGTGGGGGCCACGCTTACGGAGGAGAGGCACGTTGTTGCCGCGTGGCAGTTGATTAAGGATGGAGCTGATGCAGTTCTCAAGGTTAAGGGCGTATGATATGGATCAGTGAATGTGGGCCAAAATAAATAAGTATACAATCCAAGCTGCGGCTTTGTGATGTATGGGGACATGAATTTGATTGTTCGGGTTCATGTTGGTTGCGTCACTTCATTTAATTGGTATAAACTCTTGTACAAAAATAAAAATTATGCTAATTTGTGCAAATGTGGAATAAGTTGCACAATGTAATAATATTCTCTTGTTGGCAAA